GAGAGTGGGTTTAAAGTATATTTTGTGTATGAGAATCAGAATTTGGGTATTGATCTTAAAAAAAATGTGTATCAGCAGGACAGGACTGACTGAACACGAGAATTAGATGTCTTGAATAGATTGAAGGACTTATTCCCTCCTTTTCTAAAGTATTGATTTTAAGGATTGCGATAGGAGAAGCTCCTAAAGTAACGCGGAATCGAATCTAAAATTCTCAACCTCTAAAATATCAGTTTGAAAGATTGCGATAGGAGGGGCTCCTAAAGCAACGCGGAATCGGATGTCAAATCCTCAACTTCTAAAATATATCTGCTACTGTTCTTTCTGTACAACATGTTATACTCGTCACTGGCGCATAAAAAGGATCCCATGAATAGTGCTTGCTCCCATGAATAGTGTTTGCGGTCCCCCTCACCCGAACTTTTTTTATTTTGTTTTATCGAAGCTTTGGGACAGGGCACTCGTGTTACTTTTCCTTTCTTTCGGGATTTCTCCAAGATTTATTTTTTTGAGGATTCTTTTTCTTCTCTTTTACTTGAGTTTTTTTCACGTTGATTTTCTTGAGTTTTCTGTCATGAGTCGTTGTTACACTCTTCTTCGGATTTCTTGGACGACGTTTCTTCCAGACTTCGCCTTTTGAGATGTATTTAGGCTTGTTATACTTAAGAAACAGTAGATCTCATGGGCATACAAGTTTGCTTTACATTTTGCAGTGCTTTATTTTTCTGTTTCTACTTGCTATTATTTTTCCTGTACAACATGTTATACCATTTTTGTTCCTACCTGCTACTGTACTGTATAGCATGTTATATTATTCATGTTTCTATCTGCTACTGTTCTTTCTGTACAACATGTTATACTCGTCCTGTTTCTATCTGCTACTGTTCTTTCTGTACAACATGTAATACTAAGAACTTCAACAATAGGGTCGTTTGATTTGACATCGTAACTGGACACCCTAGAAAACTTAAACTCGTCACGGCAAGGAGTTTGGAGCTAGCGCGGTGGGCAGCGCGACCATCTTCAACAGCAAAACATGTCCTCCCCAGCAAGACCAATATTCCTTCCTTAGATATAAACAACAAAAGTCATAAGACTTCAAGAGCGCGACATAAATCCTCACTTTATCTGTTAGGCCTTTGCAACTCGTTCTAGGTTTCGAGGTTGTCGTCCGGTACGACGTAAACTCTCATATCTTCTAGGCGACTTATGTGACCGTGTCACGCAAGTATAAGCCCTAATTAAATAAAATCGGCAGGATGAAACATTCGAATAATTTCTCCTTGAAAGTGAAGTCAAACCATAGGATAAACTGAAAAATCAGTGATGTTCTCTTCAGGGTCTGTGGCCTCCCCTAGTTTCTCTTCATTTGGATTCCTCAACAATGTTCCAGATTCGAGTTTTTCCCCTTTCACACCTCTTCGTCCGATTTCGTTGTAAAGCCCTATCTTTTTGACCTCTTTGAAGATAATATTCCCTGATTTTTATCGAGAGTTTTTTTAAGTGACTTCAGTCATTTAAGATACAATTAACTATAGGGGCTTGTCCTTATAGGAAGCTTTTCCGAACCCAACCTAAAATAAACCTTATTTAATTCTTTGTATTTAATGGTTTCACAGACCAAACAGATGTTATATATTTCTTAGTTTATTTGATCGAGCTTCATCCTCAAGTCTTGTGTTTATCCCTCGGGATAGATACAGGATTTGAGGTAGAGCGCTCTTTCATTTAAACTGTGAAAAATATGAGGTCAGTTTGATTTCATATTTTTCTAAAATTATACATATATATATATATGCAAATTAAACATCCTTCCGAAGCGGGGAATGAGATTTCAATTTCGGTGACCGATAACTTCTTACGGGCAACTCCACCACAAACGAATCTCTTTCTAGCGCCGACAGTACAGAGCTACGTTGATGCAGATTTGGCTGGAGACATTGCCAGTAGGAAGAGTATTACAAGTTATGTTTATACTCGGTACTGCAGCGTCATGGGGCTCAACTCTACAGAAGTCAATTTCATTGTCCACTACAGAAGCTGAGTATATCGCAATGTCAGAGGTTGCAAAGGAGATGATATGGTTGTACAGTTTTTTGAAAAAATTGGGTAAGGAGGTTCGAAAGGGCACTCTCTATAGTGGTAGTCAGAGTGCTATATTTCTTGTCAGGAATCCAACATTTCAATCTAAGACCAAACACATTCATATCAGGTATCACTTCATACGGTCATTGTTAGATGATGGACAGTTACTACTTGAGAAAATTTATGGAAGAAAAAACTCTGCTGATATGTTGACTAAGAGTGTTACTCTTGAGAAACTTAAGTTGTGCTCAACTTCGATTGATCTTCTAGCGTGAAGACAGGGGCTTTGAGTTGCAGAGATGAAGGATATCATGTTTGAAGAAAAAAGGTCGGTAAAACCAGCAGATGATGCAGCCTGTAGGTTGTGCAGTCAGTGTCCCAGTCTCAAAGTGGGAGAATTATTAAATATATGGAACCTGTGACTCACCTACCGCGTCTCACAGTGGGAGAATTATTAAATATATGGAGCCTGTGACTCGCCTACCGCGTCTCACCTACCGCGTCTCATCTACCGCGTCTCACCTACCTCTCTCCCATTTTCTTTAAATAGCCTCTTTTGGCCTGTCATAAGAGCCAAGCCAAGCCCTCTTAAGCCCTCTCAAGCAATCCCTTAATCCCTCCACTTGGTTAGGCTTACGAAAAGAAAAAGGAAAAGTTGCTTGCCTTTCTTGCTTTCCTCAGTTTACTGGCATAAAAGAAAATATTTTTCTTTTGTTTTTTCACCTCTTCACGTGGCTTTGGAGAGAGAGAGAGAGGAAGTAAGGTGAAGAAAGAGAGAGAACAATAGAGAATTTTTCTGAAATGTCGAGGCGATCAACAAGTGTATCCTTGAAGAAATAAAATCTTCTGCAACTCCGTGAACGTAGACAATTTGCCGAACCACGTAAATCTGTGTGTTAGGTTCTGATTTGCAAATTTTTCTCGTCCATTTTTTGTTTTATCACATCGTTTTTCAAAACACAATATACAAATTAAGGAAATAATATAAAATCTATTTTTTGTGTAGCTATCCCTAACAAGCAGAAGAGAGGGCGAAGAGTAGCGAAGCAGGAAGCTAAGCTCGAGAGGTATGCTCTGAACTTTATTAGTAACTCTAACACTATCATGCAATGGCTTTTCAATATTCTCGTCTAATGATTCTCTATCTATGATCTTGGGCCATTACACTATTTTCATGGTATAAACCACATGGCTTTTGCTTGCCCCAATGTAAGTGTATCCTTGTTCTCCTTGCTCCTAACAAGTTGACATATGCAAATTTTATGATGACAACACATACAATATCACCAACGCTCACTCTTCACTTTGGCATTGCACTTTTTGATTCGACTATGTAGAGTTGTTGTGTGTGGTCTATAATACTTTCTCTTTTGCGCCCATAAATAAGCTTCACTAGAGTGTAATGGAATGACTAATTTGCTTTTATACAGTGCTATCAATTGTAACATTCTTCTTCATTGTGACTCAAAATTTCAACTTCATGTATTATTTAATGCAGATCGGGCATTTAAGAAAAACGAATTCAACTCTACAAGGGCTCATGTCATATATCTTGGCCAAAAACTCATCCCTTGGAGGTCTGTAAAACATAATTTAATAGCTCACTCTTCACCAAGGCTGAATATTGCTATGTTGACACCACAATTGCCAAGCTTCGGTGGATTTGCACACCACTCCTCGAACTTGGTGCTTCTGCCTTGGGGTGTCAAAAATTGACCTAATATGCCAACTCGATTCGAACCTGACTCAAAAAATCCTGGTTCTGGTTGAGCCATGTAAATTTCAAATCGAATTCTAGTTAAATATCTTAACTCATTTAATTTTTTCGGTCAAGTTCAGGTTGACTTGCCACCCCGAAATTGACCCGAAACCGACCGCCAACTCTATGACTTGAAATTGGCCCATCAACTTAGATTTGACTCGTGATTGACTCAAAATTGATCTGATTTTGACCTGAATAGTTGTTATTCCTTATGTTAAACGTGTTATACAAGTTTGGTTCGGGTTGGCGGGTTGAGGGTGAGTCGTGTTCAAGTTGAACTTTCTAGCCCATTTAATATTTGGGCTAGGTTCGGGTCGGCTCAATTTTAGGTCAGACCCGAACCCGACCTACAAACCTGTTTTGATACCCCTACTTCTGCTAGAGGCTTTGGTGATCTATTATTACAATGTGTGTCACTTATCTTTGTGCGATTTATTCTTTCACTCATGGATGAAACTTATTGCTATTTACACTCATTTATTTGAGAATAAGTCTAAAATGGCATCCTTCATTTGGCCCATGTTTTGTTTGAAGCAACCAGAGGATACTCTCACTACAACACTTCCATGCTACCACCCCTGCATTGTTTGAGGCTATTAGGGGATACAATCACCGGAACACATCCACGCCATCGGTTCTCTTTATCGAGCATCAAGGTTGAACTTTCCAATTAAAGCTACCTTGAAGGGCCGTTTAAAGGAATACAAGAAAGATTAAGGAATAAATGCTAAATTGTTGTAATTTGTTGGCTTGTTATTTCTTTGGCTTCCATTTGTCTACATTGTTTTCTGCTAGAGTCACCCACCTAAATTTGAAATTAGGATTTTTTTTTCGCCATGTCAACTATTAGTAGTCAAAGCATGTCAATAGAAGAATGAAGCTATTATTCAAACCTTCTATTATGATAAAAATGTTGGTTAAGATTTAGGGTACAATAGGTTATTGATGATATCAGCAGGACCTCACCAATGATTATGACATTGACGAACACATGCTATTTTATTTTGCTTTTGAAAATAATATTTGCATAAGAATAATAAAAATATTTTATTTCGTTTTAGATATATGCAAAGTAAACATAAAGAAAACCAAACACACACAAAAAAAAAAAAAAAAAAAAAAAAAAAAAAAAAAAAAAAAAAAAAAAAAAAAAAACGTAAAACTGATTGCTAATTGCCCTTATTTCTTCGGCCTATGATGACATGATGCTGGATGATGTTAATAATGATTAAAGCTTATGTTGTCATATTTTTTTTGTGTGCTTTTCATGTACAAGTCATCCATCATGTTCCTTTGATATCATGAAATACAAAGACATATGTAAACCTCCTACTTTAGAAGGTTTAACTATTTTGTTATGTGAAAAAATGTTGAATCATCTTTCCCACCACCAGAGCCATTTGAGTTGAAAAATCAACATTTTTAGTTGATGGTTAGTTTTGTATGTTATTTCAAGGAATCGTGTTAGCGGCTTAGCGCTGATTATATACATGCTGTCATTTGTCCTGGAGTTTATAAAAGTGTAAATTTAGTCCAGACTATTTTAATAGGGGTTGAAATGGTCCGTGGTGGGAACTCTTTCACCTATACGCAAAGAGTCTAGGGGCTAATTTGACATTTTATAGACTATGAGGTTAAAATAGACACCTGAAAAGATTCAAGGGACCATTTTATCACTTTTCTCAAATTGATTTTTACCTCAAGTTGTTCATTTAACCTTTTCTGCACCTCAATTTGCATCTGAAGCGCCTCATTTATCTTCACCACACTGATATCAAAAAAAAAAAAAAAAAAGTTAGTAGAAAATTTCTTGGTTATTGGAACCATCGTTTATAAGCCTTCGTTTGGTGCTTACGTGTTGCTGTGGGAGCCTACATTCATATTATTAACTATGGTTTCACCTTCTGATGTTTTGTCCGGTGCCACGGAATGACCTATCACTGAAAATATATAAGAATTCCATGTTAATATCAATCATATTCCTTAATAATCGTAGCAGATTTTACAATCTGTAATTACCGTTTCTCATTGCCCCGCAGCCATTAGACATAACATGGAGATTCTTGCTGAGTCTGTATTTCTGGAATTTCGAGGATAAATTACTTTTCTTGTTCAAACTAAACAGATTATCTAATAACTTTTTGTTACCTGAAGATGACTTTTTAGGTGATATAAAGTGAGTCCTGGGACCTCCATAACTCTCATCACTGTTTTTGGGGTAGCCTCTGAGAAATAGATAATCATTGATCGGTCAATAAAAATCAGTTTTTTACTCGAGGGCACTCGAAAAAATGAAAACTTTTAAATCCTATATTTGATAAAATTTAGTTTCTTCTTAATTTCTTTTCAGTTGTCTTAAATCTCGGATTTACTATATCCAGTTATTAGCAGGATTTATTAAATCCGGATTTACAAAATCTACTAAATCTATTGCCAAACAGGCCCTAAGTGTGAGACAATATATACGAATCATCTCTGCCTTCTTTTCTTATATACTCACTCTCAGGTCCACCAAGTTGATTCACTGCTTCCACAAAGCGCTCATGCAGCTCCGTAGTCCATTTTAGTCTAGGCTTTGCGTCAGTTGAGAGAACCAATCCTGCGTCTCCTGGACAATTTTCTGAGGCAAGAAACAAATTTCTTTTAGAAGGATTTGATGTCCTGTACGAAATGACTCTGTTGCCACTTTGGTCAAGATGATACATTTCCTGTTCATCAACCAAAAAAAAAAAAACTTAGAAAGTTGTGTGAATTATTGCACATAGATGGGCTCTTCCTTCCTGCTTCACAAAACCTATATTTTCTTTGATTTACTGTACTGCAAATTCCGATCTTCTAACAATCTGAATTTCTTTCTGGCAAAAAGAGCTTAGGAGCTTCTTCAATCTCATCCTGGTGGCGAGTTTGTTCCCCAGGCACTCCTTATAAGGCACTGTTCTGAGAATCTGGAATCTGTGGAAGGAGGCACCCGTGTCGATCTAATCTACTTAGCATTTCAAAAAGAGATTTTTTCCATGTTGCTTTTGGTATCTATGAACTCTGTGCTGCAACTTATTCAGTGAATTTCAAGACCAAAATATCTGTTCATATTCTGCACCATAAACTCATTATGTTAGTGCCTTCAATTTGTCATCTCTATCGAATATACCCATCGAGAAAACTTTTTTTCTGTTCTTCTGGTCTCCACAGGGAAAGCTGGAATTCTATTCTCCTAGGCTGAATTTTCAGTATTGGTTTCTGGATTCTTGATCTGTGCTTGAAAAGAGCATTAAGGTTAGGGTCCACTTCACGTGGAAGCCTTTGTTTTTCTTTTGTAGTTGAAAGGATGTTTTTGTTGAAGATTTAGGCTGTGTTTGGTAGCATATTATTTGTAAGATTTAATCATGAATTTAACTTAAATCAAGCCAAACTCTAAATAAATAAATAAATAAATCCAACGCTCCGTTAAATTCAATTTTCTTGCGTTTTGTAATTTTCTTCTCGCGTTCCGTCTTTTTAGGATGTAAATTCGGGTTTAGTAATTTAGATTGTGAGGCACGTTTATTCCGCATTGATAAATACTATTTAACGTAAAACTAAGTTGCAACCAAACACTTCATTAGTTATGTATTGATAGTGTTAGTTGGAGAGATTTAGGTGTTTTATCATAATCATTATCCTTATTCTAAATGTTTGTCAACTTTATGAATTCTCATTTTTGAATTACTCATGTTGAGTGTTGCGTAAGGTACTATAACGATTTTGTGTAAATATTTTGCGCCACTTTTATCCTTATTTTTTTATTGATAAATACTATTTAACGTAAAACTAAGTTGCAACCAAACACTTCATTAGTTATGTATTGATAGTGTTAGTTGGAGAGATTTAGGTGTTTTATCATAATCATTATCCTTATTCTAAATGTTTGTCAACTTTATGAATTCTCATTTTTGAATTACTCATGTTGAGTGTTGCGTAAGGTACTATACCGATTTTGTGTAAATATTTTGCGCCACTTTTATCCGTCTATTATTCAATATAAAATTCGGCGATTTAAATATATAAAACATGATTTTTATATATACGTGTATCAAATTCTTAAGCTTTGACATTTAGTTATAGGATACTCAAATCATTAATGAGAAAAGTGTCAAAATAGTCTCTAAACTCTTTTGTATTAGTCTCAGAGTATATGAAAAGTGCTAAATTAATCCTTGGACTCTTTTAATATGGGCTGTGCATGATCTTAAGAAAAATCACATCCAACCAACAACTAAAGTAAGCAATTTGTGAGCAAAGTATAAATCAATATTAGATCCGTTTTTTAAGCTCACATTTTCCCCTAAAGCATGTTTCCCATCAGCTGTATGCTGTATGAGATTTAGAAATTGTCAGGGTGGGTTTTCGGCTGTTGTTAACTTTACTGTGACAAAAATGATTGATTCGAGTCATGAGAGTAGTCTTTCTGACATCCTTAAAGGCTATGAGGCTGCATATATTACCCCATCCTGATTTCTAGATTCACTGTAGCTTCTTTTTCTGTGTTTACATTTTTTTATGCTATATTTTAAATATCATTTGAAGTCATCATTATTTCAGTGCATTTGCGATAAGGCATATTTTCTAAATTGCTGTGGCTAATTATTATATTTTAAAAGTAGATTTGCTGTGAGCTCTAATTATATACTACTTTTTTTCTGAATCACTCATATTGGAAAATGTGGACAATCCAAAATGCTTGCTTGCCAAAGTTGAGAGTTCCTTATTCTGTATTCCATAGGCAGTAGAGAGAATCCTTTTCTTTCATTGAAAAAGGAAGAATGATAGTGCTCTCACTTTTCCCTTTAAACTTTTGATGTTAAATGAAGATGATTAGTTACTCTTTTTGTCTTAAATAACCTTGTCAGGTAATATTCTTTCTCCCTCTCATTCTCTCTCTCTCTCTCGCTTTTCTTAAACACTCTCCCTCATAGAAGAGTATTTATTTATTCGAGGTTTGTTTTATACTATTTCATAATATTTTTTTACTAGTTTGTATTCACCACAAAGTTACTATATGGGGGATCCCAAGGGGTTATATGAGGTAGGAATCCACACTTCATGCATATCAAATATAATTTTGATTGAGTAAAGTGTCAAAATGGTCCCCATACTTTTTGTAGGAGGACATTTTGGTCCCCGAAGTATATAAAAATATCAATTTAATCCCCAAACTCCTTTAATATGAGCTAAACTAGTACCCTTTAGAGATTATGTCAGCCTATATTAAAAGTCTGACACTTTTATGGACTATGGAACTAAAATGACCCCATGTAAAAACTCAGGGAACTATTTTGACACTTCACTCAATTTTGATTCTTCAGTGCTATTTGGAAACCACTAGAGTTAATTAATTAAACGTTGAGGAATCGCTATTTGGGATACCGTTAGAGTTAATTAATTAAAAGTTGAGGAATCTAGGCATGTATTCATTTGATGATTAATGGTTTTTTTGGGGTTTAATCTCCTACTTGATAGTTGAAAATAAGTTTGTGTTAAAATATCAAAGTTCTTCACTCTTAGCTATTTGCTTAAGCTTTTAGATCATAAACATGTTTGATCACTGGTGTGTAACCAACTTTATTTTTTTCATCAGTTTAATTTTCCTCCCTAATAATTCTAGTAAAGCTTGTTGTTTTAATGTTTTATTTGAAAAGTGGGAGCAATGATGTTCAAAGATGAAATTCTAAGGATTGAATACTACCTTTACCAGAAGCTCCATCCACCTCATTCAGAGATGCCAAATCATCATTATAATGAACAATGATGATCCGAACCTCTTGATTAGAAATTCATTGTTTAGTTGAACACTTGTCACTGATTTTCAAAATGTTGCTATTAACATACTACATGAGGAAACCACAATTTACATGATGAGAGGTTTATCAAACATATAGGACAAAATTTTAGTGATAAAAATGGTATATCAAATGAGAAAAATTTTCATTCTTAAGCTGATTGAAGATATTTCCATGGCCGTGTAGATCAATGAGTTCAAATTGATCAGAAATCAATTGATCTAGATGGATATCAACTTTGTTAGCTAGGTTCATGCATTGAGCTTGTTATCATTATTATTAAGATGTTGGGCTTGAATTGTGACAATGGTTGATATTTAAACAAAAAGGGGGTCAAAGGTATGCTAAATGTATTTATAGTTGTAACACCTTCTTTTTCATACTAGCCAAAGTCGAACACATTGTAGAGTACTGTTGAGTTGACATCCTATAAAGTAATAACACAAATTTACCTGCTAAACCTGTCTTAGTCAGTTCACCGTGAGACTCTCTCTCAATGATTATTTGCCTGAATTTGATAGCCTTTAGCTCGAATTTATAGCTTCTAATCATTCTCAATGGTTGTAACAGATTATTCTCCAAGCAATGCACTTTTTCTCTCATTTGGTGAACTATTTACACATTTCCACCCTGTTGTCACCTTGGTTTGATAAGTCTTTACAGTAAATACATTGGATGTCCCTGTCAGTGCATGTGGATAGGCATCAAAATGATGATTTTAGTTCAACTTGTGTGATAAAGATTTGAAAAGAATCGAAGGAATGAATTGATATCCCACTACATTGACATAATGGTTCATCTATTTCTAATATTGAATGAAATGAATCTTAAATATGATTATATGATATATGATCATTTTTGTATTAATATTGATATTTAATGTCATACCTGCATTGCCATCAAAACTATTGTAGTTACATAAATATGATTCCTCAGTTTAACTCTGTATATAAGCAAATGACAATGAAAGTTCAATTGACATATGTTATAACCTCATTGATTTAATGACTTGTGATGATTTCATGGCATATGATGAGTTCCTTTTGTATATTTTATATGAGAATATTGCATAGAATTGTTACATAATCTGATGGGAATTAGGGCATAAATAATAATATACTTTTATTTTACTGAAAACAAATTAAAGATTACAACTCTAAAGATTCGAAGGTAACAATTTACAATTCGAGAGATAGGTGAGCTCTCCCACATCCTAACTCGTAAGACTCCATGCAACAATAACAAGCATGCCCAACCCTAAATTTAGTAAGCCTATTTATACCAAATAATAGTAACTAATAAATGACTAAAATGCCCTTTTAGCATCTCGCCTAAAATAAGTATTCAAATTAAATGACATGCTCGGCGTGGCGGAAAGCATCGTCGGTGCCTACCTAACATAATCATATCGCTTTACTCACTAATAAAAGAATTATGGGGCAATTTCATACATACCACACAATTTTTATGTATTTACATATGTAACACTTAAATTTTCAGAGCACTCAAATATTTAATATCATAGCAAAAGCATCACTTTTACTAAATTTTAAAAAGTAAAATTCACCTTTTTATGCATATTTTTATGGCATCATGGTGTTATAAATATAAATATTAAATGTTTGGTGTCAGATATGTAAATCAATAAGACTTGTGTGGTACATGTGTAAATTTCCCAAGAATTTTATACTCTAGTTTTGGTTTTATACAGGAATTTTTTTCTCGCCATTGTATGTACCAGCATGTGTTTCCTTGCAATAAGACTTGTGTGGTACATGTGTAAATTTCCCATGAATTTTATACTCTAGTTTTGGTTTTATACTGGAATTTTTTTCTCACCATTGTATGTACCAGCATGTGTTTCCTTAAAGCAAGTGTAAACAAATGTTGAGTAGAGCTGCAGACTTTTGCTCATCTTTTCTGAAAAGAGGTTGTGTCACATGTTATGATTTTCCTATTATTTATGTAATTATTGAAACAAGAGAAATGTTTCATGATATGATGTTGTAGTTGTATATGATTTGGGATGTCATTTTTGAAGATTATTTTGTTAATATTAGGGGCAGTGTATATGCATTGGATGATGTGGGTTTATAATGTAACAATAACTATGATAATGAAAACATTTGACAAGTTTTGTATAAAGTCAGATGTTTGATGTTTAAGTTGGTTATGTTTTTGGCATGTTTTGTATTTAACATTTAACTATGTTTAAATTGTTTTATGATAATGCCACTCTTTACAATGTATGTAATACAATGTGGCAGGGCGCTGACATGATAGGACAAGGCTTACCACTTCCTTCTTCTGCAGTAATATTTTTTAGGAGCATCTACATACATAGCAAGAAATTCTTCTGTATTTATACATCTCACATTTAAATCGTCGTACCTACTCGCATAACGCTCAATTCTTTCCTATCACATCAAAACTATCATTAATTATCATATTTCACTAATAAAATCGCCCTTTTCATGCGTAGGTAAAGTGGTACACATCTTAATAATATTGTTAAGACCAAAGTGAATATTTGTTTTCTTACAGTGGGATCCCTCCAAAACCTTGAAATTTAAATTTTAGAATGCATGAAATAAGATTTGATCCCTGTTTGAACCTCCCAAATCAAAACTACAAAATTCAGAGCAACAAAATTTGAAAGTTGCAATTCTGGTTCATTTGAAATATATGTTTTTCTTAGACGGATTAATTTGATCCTGTTCTGTTATCTAATATTTTATTTCCACTGCCTACACTCTATTATAGTTGGAACAGAGAAGCACCAGAGTTAGAAGGTATATCGCAATCTCCATGTGAAGTGCTGATGTGATCGTAAAACGAGTGAGAGTCCCGGATGGGAGTCGCTGCTGTTCGGCTCATTCACACTCCTAATGAGAGGTACAAATATTATGTGCAGACATGATAGGTGTGGATTAGTTGCAGATTTGGCTGTTTGCCATATTGAAGGCGTGCATGTGGTTTTATGTTGACACTGAGAGAATAAGACGGGTGGGGGTGGGGGTTGCAATTACATACAAAGCTTTAAATTCTCACTCGAACATCAAAATTCATGGTAAAACTCCCCTATCTATATTATCCATTTTTATCAAATTTTCAATATTTTGAGTGACATGTGTAAATACATTAGTTCAATAGTTCAAAATGATCACATGAGTGTTTAATTTGTAATATCAATGTTGTGGGTGGCTTGTATCTAAATATCCCAAAAAAATATTATTTTGGAAAGATAGTAAGGATGTATTAGGGATATGCATCTCTAATTCATGTGCATCAATATATATAGTTAAAGTTATATATTAACTCTATTTTTTAAGCATTATTATTCTGGGATTATGATCTCTCATTATTAGGTTCTTTTATTCCTCCCTCCTACCTCTCTAATATATTGTAGTTTTTTTCTTGGGAAAAGTGAGGGCGAATACAATGAGTCTACAAATAAAAAAAGAAAGCAAAATCACAACAGAATAAAAACAAAAATAAAAATAGACATGACTAATGCAACCAAACAACACCAAACTACAAAACTCCAGCAACAAACATAATACTTCTTTGGATGCAAGACTATCACCATTCCAAAACATCTTGTACAAACCAAGCTACAAACCAGAATGAAAGCTCCAATCCCACTCCTAAAACAAAAGCATCAGCTTCACATAGTCCAAGGCATTTGAAAAAGCAAACAGGAGAAAGCTTCAACATATCGTCCACCAAATCAAAATGATAGCTTAAAACCAACTCTCGAAACAGAAGCATTGTCTTCAAAGAGTCTCTGAAAAAGAGATTGAAACAATCGGTAGTCATAGTAACAAAGCAAAAAAACCAAACAACAATCTCAAGACAATTAATTTTGCAAAGGGTGCTGAGATAGCATCCAAACATCACTAAAAGAATATCCATCATCGAAAGTTTTGGATCAAAAGATCCAAACATCAATCCTAAGACACTCAAAGTTGTAATAAATACAGGAATGGTTGCGCAAAATAAATGAAGAAAGTGAATTTATAGAAAGGAATAGAAATTAAGCTCAACTTAGCCCATATTAAGACTAGGAAACTCCAACTAGAGACTAAAAAGACAATTTCTCAGCACATAACCTTAAAAATAAATGTTGAAAAACAAGTTTTCATCCAGATTTAAATGAAAGAAACATACTAAAACTTAGTCACAAATGAATGACAAAGTATCGTAGTATGAAAGTGCACATCATAGCTTAAACCTAAAAACAAGGCCAAAGAGGAAAAGATCAACTATAGCATCTGAAATTCCAAAAAATAACCAATGCAAAAATCAAAATAAAATAACTAAACCCATAAATATACATGGCTGAAAACATAATTTTCATCCAGATTCATATGAAAATGTACAACCAATCAATCTCAAGCCTACCAAAAATTAAGAAGATTCGACAACCATCAAAAAGCAAACCTAAATAAAAGGAAATAAAACTAAAAAACAATCTATATGAAAGCTACTAATGGAATCAGGGATAACATTCTTAAATTTTCATTTCCGACACTTATAACCAATTAACAAATGAACATAATGCTCATAAAATCAATAGATTTAGAGGTATTCTTAGAAATCCTAGAATTATTCTCAAATCAAATCACATGAGAAACAACTTGTAAGGATAATAAATAAAATATCTTAGAAAATTTACAAGAAAAACTAACTGCATAATAAATAACTTGGAACATATTAGGAGGAGCTAAGAAAAACAAAAATTTAATTTGGTTTCAAGAAGACAAAAAATATCAAATTTAAAATCATGGAAAAAAATAGTTGCTATCAACAATATGGCTCTCATTATTAAACCCCTGCACATTCCAAGCAGCAATTTTAGGAAAACAACATAAATACAAAAACAGATAATTGAGAAGAAAAATAGAAAAGTTGTCATCTAGAACGTTTTTTCTTACTTCTAAGAGCCACATTAGAAGTAGAAGCCCTATTCAAAAAAGCTATCTTAGAAGTAGAAACATTTCTAGCATTATTACTAGGCACATAAAGAATATCAATCATAGTAGAAGAAAAAACCATTTTCGAAGAAGTCACCGAAGGAATATTTGTAACATTATTACTAGGCAAATAAGGAATATCTAATATTAAAACTATTAGGTACAACATTATTAACAACTTCATCAATATTTTCATTATTGATAATATCTAAAGAAGAGAAAGTATTAGAAAGATTGATATTATGAGAAACCATATTATTAGCACCTGCAACCGAAGCATCAACAACATGAATGTTCATCTCATTCAGCAAAAAAGAGATCTTAAACCATAAAAGTAACATCGATGCTATCCATAATATCTGAGGCATCATTATTAATAGATAAAATGGGAGCGAAGTCATCAAGATCAGAAGTAATATAAAGTCTACTAATGTTATCAGGTTTTGGAAGAGATCTAATAATATTATCCAAACGACATCTATTGTTCACATTACTAACCATAAATCTATTAAGATTCCTTCCTCTAAATCAGGGAATAACATTATTCGTCAAAGAAGAGGATTTGGGGAAATTAGAAGAATGGTGTGAAAATGTAAAACAAGCCTTACATGGAACATGCTTCCACTCATAAATCACCAGAATTATAAACTCCCTATTTTTAAAAACAATAGTAATAGTTTCTGGTAAAGGAGAATCAACATTAATTTGAATGTTAACCCGAGCAAAAGATAATCTAGAGCCTTTAACAGTCAAACATCCACTGTAAGAGGGACACCAGTGTTACTAGGAACTTTAGAGATTCCTTTTTCAGACCAATAAAATAAAAGAAGATTAGGAAATTTAATTCAAATAAAAATTTCATCAAAATCTTCCCTAATTTGCGTAAAATCTATAGTTCACTTCTTGAAAAGAAAAGGGTTACCAACAATAAATCAAGGAACACCCGAAAGAACCATATGAACATCATCAGAACAAGTAAATTTGAACAAGAAAAACTCTCTGTTAACAAAAGAAGCTCCACTAAACCTTTTAAGCTCTAGATCTTACAAATATTTGTAGAAGATTATCATAGAAAGACTTTCTACCCAAGGCATAACCAACTAAAGCAAGATTTCACTGTTTCTAACCAATATCAACTTCTTCATCCCAAAAAATAGCTTTATCATTTGCACAATAGACATAGGACAAATTAAAATCATTCACAAAGGTGATATTAGAAGATATCAAACCTTTTCAGTTCATGATAGGTGTCGATCCAGAGATAGGTAAGAAAAGGGAAGAAGAAGAAGGTAACAAAAAAAAAAGAGAGAATTCCTTGATTAAAAGAAAAGGTGCAGGGGCAAAAGCCCCAAAAACCAAAAAGAAAAAGCAGAAGAAACTAAAACCAGATATATTTTCCAAGAAAAAGGGAAATAAAATGTAAAATAAACACAAAAAGGAGGAAGAACCTCAGTCGCCCCAGGAAACCCTATAAAAATAAAACCTAAAAAATTACACTATGAAAACCACACAGAAACAAAATATTCACTTAAAATTCCAAAGCCCTCGAAATAACACTACGAAAATCATATAGAAACAAAAGATTCACATAAATTTTTAAAGAAAATTGAAAAGAAAAGAATACGATCACAAAATCACAAAGAAACACAAGCATGAAGGATCCTTAGGAGGAGGTTTCAAAAATGCTCTAAAAATCACACAGAGAAAACTAACGTAAACAAATCCAGTAACATACATTCCCAAGAGAAAGGGAAAAGTTGACAAAACAATCACAATATCACAAACGAATGCCGTCAAATGAAGAAACCCCAACATGTTTCAAAAATCACCAATATATTGTAGTTTTTTGTATATTTAAAAAATATTTGATGTACAAAACATGCGTATAACAAAAACTTACTAATAGGGTTACATTGTAAAGATTGTAATCTCGCCCTCTATATCAATATATATTCTCAAAAAAAAAAAATTAGAGCGTCAAAACTTTGGCGCTATCTAAAAAGAATTTAATTCTAAAGATTGCATATTTCATAATTATATACCAATACATTTGAACCCACTTAATAGCCAAAACTTTTATTTCATTTACATAAATTGTCCCCCAAGCATTAATAATTTTTTAAATATTATTTTTTAGTAAGTTTTATATGAATAATTGCTTAAATTTTACATCATTTTCAGCCTAAAATAACTTATAAAGTTAAAAAATTCATGTATTTGTAATTAATTAAATTGTTCTGAAATTCTCTCTACCATTATTATTGCCTCTCTGTACTTTCCAAAATAAGAAAAAAAACAAAAAGAAATAGTTCGTTTCAGTTAACAAATATAACTGCCACCCTACAGCACGTCGCTAATTTTCTTCAACCGACTTCCCATACAGGCGCCTTCCTCGGAGCCTCTATATATCAACCCATTCCCCGTAAAGCTCTCACATTTCTCCATCATTTCCCCCTGAAGCTCGTCAACAATGGATTTCTCGAGGATTTTGGCCCCCATTGAGGAAGTTCAAGGGATGCGAAGGCCGAAAACGAAGATCGTCTGCACTCTCGGCCCCTCATGTCGATCGGTAGAGATGATCGAGAAATTGCTTAGGGCTGGGATGAATGTGGCGAGATTCAATTTCTCTCATGGAACTCATGAGTATCATCAGGAAACCCTAGATAATCTCAGGATTGCGATGGGTAATACAGAGATCCTCTGCGCCGTAATGCTCGACACAAAGGTCGCGCCTTTCCCCTGTTTTTATTGCATTCCTTCTTTCTGAATCGTTTCTATGTTTCCTTCAGTATTTTTTACATGTTTCTGTTTGATATGCAGGGTCCTGAGATCAGAACTGGGTTTTTGAAGGATGGGAAGCCCATAAGGCTAGAGAAAGATCAAGAGATCACCATAACCACGGATTACAGCATAAAGGGTGACCAAAAGTTGATATCGATGAGCTACAAGAAGATGGTTCAGGATGTAAAACCTGAAAGCGTTATCCTCTGCTCTGATGGCACGATTTCACTCAAAGTAATAAGTTGTGATGCCGAGAATGGTCTGGTTCACTGCCGCTGCGAAAATGATGCTGTTCTTGGCGAGAAAAAGAATGTGAATCTTCCGGGAGTCGCCGTCGATCTCCCCACCTTAACCGAGAAAGACAAGGAAGACATTCTCAATTGGGGCGTCCCTAACAAAATCGACATTATCGCTCTCTCCTTTGTGCGTAGAGGTTCTGATCTTGATGAAGCTAGAAACCTTCTCGGTGATCATGCGAGTTCCATCATGCTAATGTCTAAGGTACCTAATGCAGATGACAAAAAACTTTAAACTTTGTGGTGCAAATAGCAAAAAGATTCAAACTTTACTCCCAAAATCAAATTTTTTACCAATTGGCATTGCAGGTGGAGAACCAAGAAGGAGTCTCCAATTTTGTGGACATACTTGAACACTCTGATGCCTTCATGGTGGCCAGAGGAGATCTTGGCATGGAAATACCAATCGAGAAAATCTTCTATGCACAGAAGACAATGATAAAAAAATGCAACATTAAAGGAAAGCCTGTGGTCACTGCAACACAAATGCTGGAATCCATGACAAGAAACCCTCGTCCCACCCGCGCTGAAGTCACCGATGTCGCAAATGCTGTCCTTGACGGCACCGATTGCGTCATGCTCAGCGGCGAAACCGCCGCTGGAGCTTATCCGGTGCTCGCAGTCGATACAATGGCAAGGATTTGCATGGAAGCAGAAGCATCGATGATGAATTATGAAGCCGCGTTTAAACGAGTCGTGGCTGCAACAGAGCTTCCATTAACTCCATTGGAAAGCATTGCTTCTTCGGCGGTTAGAACTGCAAACTTTGTCAGAGCTGGACTGATTCTCGTGCTGACAAGAGGAGGAACTGCTTCAAAACTTTTGGCCAAGTACAGGCCAATGATGCCTATATTGTCTGTGGTGGTTCCTGAGGTACATATAAAAAACGATGTTTTCGATTGGTGTTGCAGCAGTATAACTCCGGCAACCCACAACCTGGTTTACAGAGGAATTTTTCCAGTGTTGACGGAAGGATCAACGAAGGCTTCGCAAAGCGAAGCGACTGATGAAATGATTGAACTTGGTCTCCGGTATGCGAAGGAAAAGGGGCTCTGTAAGTCTGGTGAGTCTGTGGTGGCGTTGCATCGTGTGGGTTCTGCAGCTGCTGTGAAGATATTGACAGCTTAGTCATGGTGATGTGACAGTTTTTAAGGAAGTTTAGTTAGTTGTTTCAAATGGTTTCAATTTATGATTTCAAATTTTTAATTAGGTGCCTTATGACATTTATTTATTTATATTTTTAGGTGTTTTGTTTGAAGTGGATTTGTTTTTTTTTTTATAGATTTGTGCTCATAGGATGTAATTGGATAATGTTATTATTCATTTCAGTTAATTTTTTTCTTTGTTTTAATCTTTGCTTGCTTGAGAGAAAGAGGTATAGATTTGTGCTCATAGGATGTAATTGGATAATGCTATTATTCATTTCAGTTAATTTTTTTCTCTGTTTTAATCTTTGCTTGCTTGAGAGAAAGAGATAGAAGAGAAAGAGGAGAAAATATTAGATGTGTTTCATGCATCTACGATCAACAAATAAGAGGAGAATATGTCTTAACACGCCTAACATTTTCTCAAAATAGAGAGAGGATTCTAATATAATTATTTGAACTTACACAAGTATTGCTATTTTCTCTGTTCTAAGATAATATGTTGCATTGTCCAGATAATAATGGCTAGGTTCTAAATAAGCAAATGCAGTCTGAGAGGATTCTAATATAATTATTTGAACTTACACAACTATTGCTATTTTCTCTGTTCTAAGATAATATGTCGCATTGCTCAGATAATAATGGCTAGGTTCTAAATAAGTAAATGCAGTGTTGCAACTTGAAAAAAGCTTTATTTTGTGAGAAAATTAGAAGCCCAATACTGTCAGGTATTGATTTCCATAAGTTGGAGACAATGCAGTTGTTGCATGTGCATTGCATTGAATAAGTTTTTTCATCAACATTCTCATATAATCAATCATTAGTAGAGTCATATTGAAACAGGTATGATTGCACATCGAGTTTTGGCTAATGACCAACATAAACCTAAAACAATATTGCTTGAATGAAAGGGAATATACACATCGTATTTTTTTCTGCCCAAAATAATTATTTTTAACATTAGATTACATCAAGGTTAAGGGAGATCAGTGACTCATTAGATGATATTGCAATGATATATTTATGTTCAATCTTAAAGGAGAAGCTCAAAACATCAAAATTAAAAGTAGTGCTTACAAATTGAAATAATATTCTGCTTTTTGGTTCGATCTTTCTAAATATTATAAGATAGAGACGTATAATATTGATTTATTTGAATTATGTAGATGAGATGCTAATAATGTTATACTTTTGATAGAGCATAGAAAGAATAAAAATAACAAAAGAAACCAACAGTGTCCAAAATAATTTTTATATTATATTATATAACATCTTCTAGGAGACTTACATTTAAATACATATATTTCAAAAGTCTAATTAGATTCAATTAAAAAACTCAAATATTAAGTTGTACTAATTTTTCAAATATTTTATTAAGATTCTTTTCACTATGCATCAACACTCTACATAACTTGCAAATATTTGGCATCCAAATTTCAAAATCAAATCAATGTCAAACTTAGTTGGTAGTGTTCACATCCTCTGTATTTTGGACTTTAGTAATTGACTGTATCTTTCAGTATTGTCTAGTTTCATTTAGTCGACTCAAGTGTTCATATAAATTAGATTTCTATATATACTCTCTTCTACCTGCATATTCTGAGACTAAAAAAAAGATTTTCATCCAAGAATTACCCTAATGCATGAATAATATGGGAAGCCTTGATCATCATGACATACATGAATGAATTATTTTGTTTTGAAGGCTTGTAAATCTTGAAAATTGAATCAACTGGACGGAAAGCTACTGCAATCTCACAGGGCTGGATAATTTGAAACTTGAAAGTGAACTGCATTTGAAAAGTTTTTAGAATACGAGGAATGATGAAGAAGCCAATGACGCTTTCTATTTTATTCATTTTATATGAAAGACTGTGGATGGAAAAATGTAGAATACGTAAATTGGAGATAACATATATTAATTTAGGTATTGTTTGGATATGAGAAATAACTAATTAATGCAAGCACTCGAGTCATTTAAAAGAATTAGACAATGATAAATGTAAATGTGCTTACCATTGTTCAAGTTATGGAGGTTTTGAAAGTTACAGAGAAGACTAGTATTGATTGGATTTTAAAATGTGAAGGTTAAATGTTTACAAGTTATGTATAATTTTATTTATAGTGAAAAAAAAAATCATTTAGAATGTTTTAAAGGTCAAAATGACTTGATATTTGAGCTTTTTGAATGAATTTGATGGATATTTAAGATTGATATCTGATAATAGAGTATAAACAATTTGTTCAATATTATGTTGTCTCTTTTGTTGCTTTTGTTGTGTTATCCAAAAAAAATATTTGCAATTGAAAGATGCATAACATGAATTTTGTGCAAGATTACTCATTCTTATCTACATGCTCCCTTGAAAGAGTGATATTTCATGAAAGAGTGATATTGTCAGCAACTCATCTACATATTGCAAATTAATCTGCTCCCAGTGCATATTCTAAGTTGATAACTCAACAAAATATTCGACACCTCATAATTTAACCAATATGAGAGTTTTTATCTCATGATTTGATGCTATGCTTTACTTGTTGCTGAATTGTTTCTAGATATTGAAAGATAGAGATTCACATATTGGTTGAAGTATAGAGCTTTGAAAGCTTTCTTAGGCCATCTCTGGGGCACATGTGCTAGTAGCAGATTGATTTTAACATGTAAATGAGCTTTTAACAACCTTATTAGCAACTCATCTACATATTACGAAGTAAATTACTATCAATGCATATGTTTCACAAATGATTTAAAAAAAGATTTCAACACCTCATGATTTAAATGGTATGTGAGTTTTTATTTCATATTTACTTGAGAAAATGGAGTAAATTCTATATATATATATAAAGCATAAGACATGATCATAGCTCAACTTTAGAGAAAATAAAATCTCATAGTTTCATCATCAAAAACTTTATGTAGCTCACTTATTAATAGCTTGTGATTTATTCTCAGTTCTCTTAAAAATCAACCAATTATCTAAAGCATTCGCTATCTAAGAAGTAATTTATAATTTTTAACAATTTTTTTTAATTATAATCAAAATTTAATTTCTCTCAACCTCATTATTAAAATCTCATCTCTCAAACAATAATTTGTAATTATCTAATGATAAACTCGATAATTTGTATAGAGGAATTGTGCTCATGTGGGATGTAACTCGTTCTATGTGGTTATTGTGATTTTACTTACCCTCACGCTAACTATAAACAAAGCCTTTAGACTATTTTATTTTTCATGGCTTTCACTCAACACATCATCTACAATTAGTAAGAAATGATTTTTCTTCAGCTCAATTATAAGTCACATCTGCATTGCATCCATGAAGCAAAAATTCTCTTTCCATTATTAGGTCAAATCAATTTAACATGACTTTTCATGGAGGTTAAATACATAAGTTCCTGATTAGATGAAAGTTTAGAAGGTAGATTTAAGTTTTACCTCATAATAGTGTCATGATTATAGAAATATATTCCTTAATATTGAGATAAGTAAGACTAACAAAATTTATTACAAATACTTCGATTGAAGGTGATATTTGTGCCATGTTCAAGTGCTTGCTTACTAGCACCGCATGATTGTATATAGGGTTGTAACGATGAATAACTTGAATTCAGCTCGATTAATAATTGATCAAGTTTGTTTAAATTAATAAATAAATAAATTTAATGTTTTTAAAGAACTAGGACGTTAAATAAACCAAAGTAAAATGTGATCCAATTCATAAGCTCGTTTATTGTTCAATACCTTGTAAAAATATTATATATGATATATTTTTAAAATAAAATTTAGTTGAATATAAATTATTTAATTATATATTTAGTAGTGATATATTTGCTGTGAAAAACGACGACAATAAAACGAACATGGAACGAGAAAAATTGCACGTAGAAAAAAACACCAAAGCGATACACAGATTTACGTTGTTCGGCAAAATTGCCTACGTCTACGGAGCTGCAGAGGATTTTACTACTTCGAGGAATTACACCGTCGAGCGTTTCGACGTTTACAAGAAAATCTTTATTTTATTCTCTTACTTCCTCTCTCTCTCTCTCTCTTCCTCTCTTTCTCTTAGCTCTCAAGATGACTTGGCTTGGTTGCTTGGCTTGCCTTTCCTTTAAACCAAAAGAGACTATTTATAGAAACCATGAGAGCGGTAGGTGGGAGGTAGGTGAGCGGTAGGTGGGATGTAGTAGGTGAGCGGTAGGTGGGTGTGGTAGGTGAGCGGTAGGTGAGATACTTAATTAAGATGTTAATTAAATTCGGTGGACCGGGTCTCCACATTACCCAACAATATTCAATTTCAATATGCACGATAATTTAATGCAATTTTTTTCTTTGTTTTTATTACAATAAATTAGTTTATTAGTACAACGACAACGAGCCTTTATCCCATTAAGTGCGGTCGGCTATATCAATCTTTTTTTCTCCATTGCATCCTATGGAGGGTCATACTTTCATTTAATTTTAATAAATTAGTTAATTAATATTTATTTACATTATTTAATTGTAATTAGGTTACAACCACTAACACGGAAATGTACAGCCAAATTAAGAAAATCATGTCAATTTATTTTTCATACATAAAGAAGAAAAACTTGAGCATACGGGGAAAGAATAATAAAAGAAAATTTGATCAAATAAAATAAGATTAGAATGAAAAATTAAGCTTATATCAAAATATGGAGAATAATTTATGATGATTTATTTCTGAGTCGAGGCATTAATATTTCCTAATATCGAATTTCTGAAGTGAACCAAGCTCTTTCTCTGTACATATAACCTCAAATCATCATGTGCTTCAGTAGACTTCTTTAACTTGTTCTACTAAATATAAACTGAATATTGTTGATTAAGGGATCATTCTTGTTCTATTACTTGTTATAGTTGTAGGATGATTTGATTAAACATAATTAAACTAGCAGTTAAATCTTGATTTATTCGTGATTCACACCTAATGAATAGAGTGTAAGTTGGGAGGGAGGGAGGGAGGGAGAGAGGAGTGAACAGTAACACGTCATGTCAATTGTTCTATCATCTTATTCATAAAATGATTCTCTTACTTATAAAGAAGAGATACAATATGATGAGGCTGTATTCTTATCTAAGCTTTCAGGTGGGTTGTACAACATATTTTTGATACTGTCGCACTCTTCCTCTCTAGACTGTTATTTCTTCTTAGGATCAGTGTTGACACATTTTTTACATACACTAGCACTTAAAAATTTAAAAGATAAACAATCATTCCTTACTTTTAAAATAGGAGAAAGCTAACAAATATTAAGAATCCTACTCCTTGTGCTTTGACTCTGAACTTATGACTTCGATCATTGTTAACAACTATTATTGTTTAACAATTATCACTCGACTTATATATTACTTGATTGTTATCATTTGATTGTTATGTGTTGATCAATATCGTCTTCCACTAATATATGCTAACCTCTGACTGCCATCTCTAAACTTTTGACATTCGCTATTGCTTGACAACCATTACTTTTTTATCAGCAAATGTCCACGCTATTCTAATATTTTTTATTGCGTCGTAAAAAGGTTAATTCGTAGTTATACTTTGTATCTTGCTCTACTTTGACTCGTAGCCTATACATTGTATTTTATCCGATTTCGATTGGAAGGAAATGGTGAATTTCTATGTTCTTCACTTTCATTGTGGATTATTCTAATAAGAGTAGTTCTCATGATTTTTCCCTTATCTAGCTTCTCCTGAAAAAACTCTTATATTTCTTATTACTTTCTCTCATTTGTGAGTATGTGAATCTTGATGCAACCTTTAAATTTCTTAGCTTACAAAAACCTTTAAAGTAATTAAATTTATTTTAGATCAATGTAATTTAAAATTTAGTTCATTTCTTATTCATTATATTCACCTTAAGATAAATCTAATAGTTTGAAGATCCATTATAATCAAAATTTAGTCAATGTTAACCGACCTAAGTTTTTTTTAATTAATTCAAGCCGCCTAATTAGCCAAACCCAATAAACTAATGCCATATTTAAAAAGTCAAGACTCACTTGACTATATATATATATATATATATATATATATATACATAGATTATATACAATTAAATTATATTAAAAATTAAAGTTTTAAAAAACATTTAAACAATCTCTCTTTCTTCCTTCATTATCAGCCCTTTTTAGCCGGTCATGACTTCCTTGTGAAGAGATGTTGGAACATCAAGAAAGGAAGGAAAAAGAGGCCAAGTGAAGGGAAAAGTGGTTGAAAGTGCTTTCCAGGTGGCAATATATGCGCTCACAAACGCCCTTTTCATATACCAAACTTTCTTAATATGATTTCAGCAAATGCTTAAGCACCAGAAATTTCATCATAATCATCATCATCATTTTTGCGTTTATTGGATATAAGTTTTATCAAATCACATTCCACATTATTCATATTTACAATACATAAATACTTTTGCATAATCTCTATTATCGATTTACGGTTTACCCCTTCTTTTTTTTTTCTTTTAATTTTTCATACTATTTTTATCTAATAATTTTATAATAGTGCCCTACTAAAAACCAACAAATTTTATCTTCAATGGATGCTATAATTGACATCTCTTTAATATTTGAGAATCAATAAAATCTTTGGCCGGTGGTGCCGTGGTTGAAGATTTAGAACACGACATTAGCATTCTTCTAAGGGAGGGAACGATACGTGAATTTCACGTGAATAACAAACATGCTGATTGAGTATATTTGAAAATGTATTTAAGATGTATTCTGATAAATACATCATAAAATATAAGTACCACTCAATTCTTATGTATTTACATGTATATCACTCAAATCTTTAAGTGTCATCAGCGTACCTGACTTTTAAAAGTGAAATACATATTTTAATTCATAGGTTTATAGCACCAAAATATTATAAGTGTAAATATCAAACTTTAATTTAGATAAATAAATACATAAGAATTGTGCAGTATATATATGTAAATTTCCCTATTTTTTAATAGCCAAAAAAACTGATCAATTCAAAATCAACAAAACAAACTGTAATTAATAGACAAAATTATATGAAAAAAGCAATAAAAATAGCTATATGATAAGTTCACCCTACTTGTTCCAAACATGCCATATACATAAGCATCAATGTGCAGGACAGGACTTTCACAACAGCACTACCATACAATATATTCTTCAATGAATCCAAACCCAAAAACCCTAAAATATTTAGTCTGTCTCAGCATCGCATTCCGACATTCTTCTTCCCCTCCTATTTCCTACACAACATAGAAAAAAAAAGGCCAAAAAAAAAAATGAAAAGAAAAAAAGCTAGATAGATCACCTGAAACCAAGCTTACATATGGCAGCCATGAATGCTCACTCTAGTGAGCAGCAGATCAACACAGCCAGCTTCCTAATCCCCTGAGATTCATTTCAGAAGAACCAGCTCCCAACCCCTCGAGACATCGAATCAGCAAAATCCATGGCTGGTGAGCTAAAAGAAGATCCAAATCTGAAATCATTACTCATATCAGTCGCTTGGTTCTGATAAACTTGATCCATTTGTTCCAATTCCTCATGAATAGAACATAATTGAGAACAATTAGCTTCTTCGAAGATCCCACTGCCGCCGCCGCCATTCTTGGAACCGAAGAAGCTGCTCATAGCCTCATTCGGCAGTCGAAAAGTATCAGTTTTCTGCACCTCATTGCCCGCTCGAACCTCGCCGGAAACTTTACCATGATTCATGTTACTGTCATACTGATTCAGCAGCTCAGCAATGAGTTTCTGCCCATCATCTGGAAGACCGAGGCCGGAGATACTAAAAGGAGTGGTGGCAATGGCGGCAGCAGGCTGCAAGTTAACAGAAGCCATCTTTGGCTGTTGGACCACCATCGGAGACATTGAAAATATTTGTGGTTTGTTCTCATTCGGTTGAAATGCTGAAGAAGTGATAAAAGGCGGCGGATTGGTGGAATAACAACTGTTTTGATACAGCTGATTGCTCTTCATAGATTGGTAATCATTTCGCCGAAATTTAGTAGTCTCTCCATTGAACACACTTCCTTGATTCAGTATCATCTCCGGCTCGCAATTCGCGGCTCGCTTTCTGATAAACTCCTCATTATTCATGCTGAACACATTATTCATGTCTATCGGGTCTTGATTCTTCATCACCTCGCCGCATTTGTCATCATCATCGTCATCTACGCCTTCAACATCATACTCATTACAGCTGCTGCTAAATGAAATCGTTCCATTGCTCGCGGAGGATGGTGGAGGACAAGCATCGGGATGAAGGTCTCTGAACATGTCCTCCTCTTGCTTAACAACAGCGAGCCAAGTTGCGCTCTCCTTTGCAGTCATCTTGTCCTGAAGGCACTTGGACTGCCGCACAAGCCGGCGGATCTTGTCGATATCAGGGGAGAGATGTTTGATGACAGAGGTGAGAACGCCGACCTTCCAAGCCTTTTTCAAATCATGAGGCTTCTTATAAGGAGGCGGAGGCTGGTCGTTTGAGAAGCCGACCTGAGGCCACCAATCCTCCTTTCCCGTCGGCCACCATGGAGGAGGAATGCCTTTTTCAAGAGGGAACCTTCTCTGCGGAGGATCACAGTGCTGCATCAGCGCAGATAAAAGAGATCCCAAGGTCGTGTCTTGAAGCTCCTGCAATGAGTGAGGACTGATGAACCTGGAGTTGAGCTCACTGTTGGGGCTCTGAATTCCATTATCAGCCTGGTATTTGGCGATTGCAGCAGGTCCATTTCGATCGAATCGGACCTTCTCCTTCCACCAGCCTCGAAGATTATCAGAAGCGCCGCTCACAGGCTTCCCTTTCTCAGGAATGATTCCATAAACGAAACCTTGAGCCTTGCAGACCTCCATCATTTTTAACATGTATTTGAGAATTCCGTCCTGTGCGCGCGACATCTTCTTTCTCCTCGCTTGTTCTTGCGACTGGCGATGCTTCACTGAATCACTGAAATCTCTGTTCTTGGTGTTCTGCTGCTCCTTCCGTTGCTTGACAAGAAGCCGGTATCTCCATATACGGCGCTCAAGCTCTTCGACTTCAATGTCTTCATCGCTGTCTTCGTCGTCGGGGATGACCTCGGGGAAGTTGTCAGGAAGGGGGTCGACCAAATCGCCTTCGATCATCGCGGAATCAACGCAGGGCGGGTGGGGGAGATGAGAGAAATTGGGGTGCGGCGGCGGTGGTTGGATTATGGGCATAAAGGTGACATTTTTGTCATGGCTGGGAGGCGTGAAATGTGAGAAATCTAAGCCACATGGGAAGCCCATGCTTTCAATTGCAAGCTCACCCATGAAGAAGAGAAGGCTAAGTAATCAGAGACAGAAGACGTAACTCCTGCAACATATAGAGCTTCGATTAATCAGAAACACATAATTTCTTTAATTTCATGAAGAAATAGCAATAAGAATATTAAATCATTTATTTTTCTTTTTCTACTAATAGAAAGGATAAAATGAAACGAATCATGTTCTCAAAATTAATTGCAAACGATACAATTCCAAAGCACAAACGAAAAAGTTAGCGAAAAGATAAACAAAAATCTAAAAGTGAATTTAAAGTTAATATAAAATTAAGCTTTACAAAGGAGCGGGATTCATCAAAGGTAAGGCCCTGGATCTGATGAGAATCAGAAAATTATGCTGAATGGCAAGACGAAATAAAATTAGAGGATTGGAGGCGACTATGGAAGAAGAAGAAGACGAGCCGACACCGATAGGCAATATTGATTCATCCCCCATCTCCATTTTCAAGTAATTAATACAAACTAATAATAAATTTGTCCGTTTCTGCTGAAACGAAACAGATTCCCAAAATTTTAAGGTTTAACGCCTCAGAAAACCAGAATCCTATGCTACAGAGGAAGAAAGACTCGTTAATTAGCGATCATGAAACGACTTGTTGCAGGAAAAGGAGACATAAAAGGTAGTTGAAGAGGAAATAGAAGCAAACATAATTATTCTCATACAAATAGAGCGAAAATCTCTTTAAAACATCAAAAGTTTGATTTTTTTTCTTATTTTTTCACTAGTGAAAGGTCTTAAAACATCAACTTTGTATAAGATTTGCAGAACAGAACAAGGTGTCACAGAGAGCGCAGCAGAAAGCATCAAAAGAGACGAAACAGAGAGGAGCATAGATACACAGACCAGTGAAAGTATCGAGTTAGGCCATTTAAGGCTCTTCGAACATAGGAAATTATGCCTATACATCCACGAAAAAGCAATAACGAACACCAATAACTAAATTTACCAAAAATACTAATTTTGCATCAGATTACAGAAGAAGGCAATCTTCTGAAGAAAACGCAGCAGAAAACATCTCAGTTATGTGGCAAGCGAAGAAAAAAAGCCTTTCGAATTCATGGGGCGAGAAAACAAACCGCTTTCTGCGAGCCCACTACTTCATTAGAGCTCAACTAGGGAGCTTGTGTCGGTAGAGAGAGAAGCAAAAGTGAGGAATACAGGATCACAGTCCAAAATCAGGCGCAGTAGAAGAAAAAATGGAGTTGAGTTCCTCCTCTCTCTATCTCTCTCTCTCTGTCTGTCCTCCGTGTGAGAAGGGGAAGAGGGGTAAATAGGAAAGTGATGAGACTAGATTGAACATGGTTTAGGATTTAACCGTGGTGAGGACATTAATTACTCTGTTCAGGTGTAGGGATGGGCGTGAGATCCGCATTCTAACGTGCACGCACACCCACCTTCCAAGAGACTGCCTTCAATCCTTCTTTATTAGTTTACCATTCTGTACTTTGAACCGCTGCTGTTTTAACAAGCGATTATTTAGCAAAATCTATTATTTTCATACATGCTGAATTTAAGGACAGGTTTTTGCATATGAAGCATTCTATGAGCAGCCATGAAAAGGTCTGTTCAATTCTCTTACATTTCAGATTTGAGTCAACCCAACTGGTCGAGAGAAATTGACATCACAAATTAATGAGTTAGTTGCTTTTGATTTTATGATCTATTAGTAGAAGTTAACATCATCATGATAAACTCGCAAGCGAGTCTTCTCAAACTAAAACGGCTGATGAGATGGGTCCATCGAAATGGCACACTAGGATTAGATTTAAGGTAAGCGAAGTTAGCCAACATCTTCGTGCAAACCTATCACATAGTTTAGTGAAACGTAAACATGTGCTTTAAAATGCTTAAGAGCCACATGTTGCATATTTTGTTATTTTTAAGAAGTTTTTGTTACGCCATATTTTATAATCCATTCATTTTCTTAAATACAACATTTCTCATAGATCTACGTCTCTACATTTAGATAGGAGATTAAAGGGAAAGCTTATAATAAAGCTTATTATCCTAAGTTGACTTATTTTTTATTATTTTTTAAAAGTCATGAGCATCTCTCTCTCTCTCTCTCTCTCATAGACAATTTTGCTAGTAAAATTTAGATGTAGCTCATAAAATAAAATACATTCAACTCTAAAACAACAAAATGTAAAAGCCTAAATGGAGATTTTGCATGAAACAAAATAAATCAATAGCAACACAATTTGTTAATACAAAGTCAACAAAATTTTATCATAAGTCAATTAAGTGATTAGAATTTATGTTGATTTTAAACAGAGGATTTTAATTATATTTGTTGCTTTGAGATAAGAACAAAATAAATCAATAGCAACACAATTTGTTAATAAACAGTCAACAAAATTTTATCATAAGTCAATTAACTGATTAGAATTTATGCTGATTTTAAACAAAGGATTTTAATTATATTTGTTGCTTTGAGATAAACATTATTGATAATCTAATTTAAAAGATGAAACATGTTCTAAAGTATCAATATTGAAATTGACTGAAAGTGCTTTATTAACATTAATTGGCGAAGAAAAAAAATTACATGATTAAGTATCTTGTTTATTGTTTTGTTTTCCATTGTCTAAAGGAAGTCCTGGTCATCTTCTTTTTTGTTATTCAATGTTTGTAAGTTGTATTGCACTATAAGATATTTAATCATATGCCCAATTTTTACCTTCGATTTCTTGCATGATCTTTATGATAGGATAATTTAGCTTCAAATGAAGCATGATGCAACAACACCTATTAATTTCCTACATTTTCTGTCAAGAACTTGTTCTGCATATGATTTCCTAAACTTAAATAGTGCCTTTGATTTGGGTTAAGAGAATTTGTCAAGCATGAAGGCTAGCTAAAATTCAGCTCCTACACGTTTGGCATGAGAAAATGGTGATAAGAAAGAACTAAATCCATATGAAAATGATAGAAAATAATATTTAATTATATATGTATAGGGTTATACAATAACATGACACTTAAATGTGCTCATAATGGAGCATTTATGGGATTGGTGAACTCCTAATAAAATATTTGATATTGAAAAAAGTTATGAGGTTCAACCTTGTAGAAAATGGGTTTGAGCCAAAGCATGCAATATCATTCATATTATAGCTAGATTTGTTATAATTTGTATCAGAACTTCACCTCTGATAACATAATGTGTGCAAAGTTTGGGTCAAAACAAAGAAAAAGAATATTGGTCTTTGACTTTCACATTTGAAGAGATATGTGACTAATTGTTGGGATTAAGGCTAGTAAAAGAAGCAACCCTTGGCAAACCTCTAAGAGGAAAAGTTCTTATTGATAGAAAGGTTAATGTGCCATATAAATAAATAATTATACCATAATTTATAAGATTAATTTTGGTGTAACAAATATTTTCCTTAGAAACTTCATTGGTGAGAGTATTCATAAGAGTGCCCTCCTAGGATAGATGATATTTTTAGAAGTTGTATAAAAGGAAACAAATTTAAAAATTCAACCTTATATGAGAAAGATTACATCAAAGCATATGGGTCCTTCGACTGTTGACATTTAAATTATATATATATAT